TCTCCTAAAGTCCTGATAGGACACCCTCAGAACAAAAACTGATCTTGGTGAGGGAGCGTTAACAGACCCGGTCTGTGGTGTCTTGTGGGTTGTTGTGTGAACATTTCATCCTGAGGACACGAACAAGTGTCTCTTTGTCCTAAACATAGTTCCAACAACAGAGCATAGAAACTGCCCATGACATGTCTAGCTTGGTAAAAAACAATAATTTTAGTTAGGTTTATTTACAGAAACTTAGGCAACTTATGTCCCGCTATACCACTGAAGTAAATCAGTCTCCCATAGCAGCTGTTAATTGTCTTTATATCTTTGGGGGCGGGGCCTCCTAAGCCCTCTCCTCTAGTAACCATTGCCTGTGAGTCTTGGGGGAGATGTGGGGCCCAGTGAGCCCCTCCCTCTGACAGAAGGTTAATTGGCCCAATCTTGTGCGCAGCTGCTGACAGGTCTTCACCTGTCACTAGCAGTGGTACATTGTGCCCATAGAACAATGTTTCATAACATGAGTCACAGCGCTGTGATCTCTAGAGGGTCATAGGCATGTTGTGTGCAGAGGACAGCTTTTACCGCACTTCACCTAAAGAAATCTGAAGATTTAAGCTGCTTCTCAAGATCTTAAAAACAGTGACTTTTCTATTCTAATAAATTATACAAGGAAGAATGACCAAATACTTAGAACTGCAGGAATGTAGACAAAGAGTTGGGTATGAAGGCACATGGTTGTAATCTTAGCACTCAGGCGTCTGAGGCAGGAGAATCAAGTTCAAAGCTAGCCTGAGCTATTTGATGAATTTCAAGTCATGCTGGGCTACCTAGGTGTAAAAATGTATCAATTCTTTCTCGTTAGTTTTGTTCTGTTTTTTTTTTAAATTGTAACCAGTTCAGAAATATATTGATTACCAAGTTCCCTTCTCCAACTCCTCCTAGATCTTCCCAACACCCCCCATCCCTGCAATTCCACACTCCTTTCTTTCTCTCTTTATAGAGCAAGCAGGAAAACAAGCTGTGATTTAAAAAAAGGAAAGATAAAGTATACATATAAAAGGCCATAAGAAGAAAGTGCTCAAGCAAAGCTGAAAAGCTGGCATATTTACACAACAGAATATTGGTCAGCTGTTAGGCAAAATTATGAAATTTGCAAGTATGTGGATGAAGCTAGAGAACATCATCCTGAGTTAATCCAGACCCCAGATCACATCATACAACTTTGTTATCCAATTTCATTGTGCCAGCTCACTCCTAAAGTGGCTAGAAACTTCCATTGTGAAGGACAAATCCATCTGATCCTGTTAGCAGTGAAAGTGATGGCAGGGCCAGCAAGATGATCCAGTGTGTTCAGGTGCTTGCTGCACAGGGTAGGTGACTTGTGGCTTGATTCCCAGAGCCCATGTGGTAGGAGAAAACTCCTGAAAGTTGTTCTCTGAGGTCCACAGATGTGTTGTGGTACTTACAAGCACACACTCATTAAATAAAGTAATAAAAAAGAATGTGACATACACATTTTAAAACTTTATGTTATGCCACATAACTAAATGTTGTTTTTGTCAGTTAAAATAAAATATGTGAGCTGGAGACGTGCTTAGCAGTTAGAGCGCTTGCTGTTCTTCCAGACCTGAGGGCGGTTCACAGCCTCCCCTGGGCTGTGTTCGTCACTGCTGTGTAACCCCAGTTCTAGCCCTTCCGTGGCATTCTAGGAAACCCACATGTAGGTGGTGTACACACACACACACACACACACACACACACACACGTATTCTCACAGACACATAGGAAATAAATGATGGCCTACTAACATGTCTCAAATTAAGATTTGGGGAATATATTTTAATGTAGTCCATAAGTTTCTGGTGGTTCATATCAATTAAGAGAACATTTTTTTTTTTTAATCTTTATCAAGCAAACAGGAAAGAATGATTCCTTAAACAGTTCGGAATACTCAGTAAGCTCACAGTTTTGTTTCTCAAGTGGCAGGTGAGATTGATTACATTTAGGAAGAAATTAAAACATGAAATTTTACAAGGAAATTGGTGACTATGAAATTAATTCATGAAAAAGCTAGGGGCTTATGGATTATAACTATTTTTGCTTTTAAAAAATTTGGAATGTAATTTTTATTCATGCAATTCCCACTCTACACTTTCTTTCCTGTGGTTTATGTATTTCCACACAGTTGTGCAGCCTTCTCCACTACAACCCCACCACCACCACTGTAAACATTTTCATTGTTGAAGAAGCCCAGTGTGGAACCACCCCTCCTGTCTTTGGCAGCCACTGGTCTAAATCTGTGTGGATTTGCCTGTTTGGGCTGATTTTAGTTTTAAATAGATAACAAATTATAGGGTAATAGTAATAAAAGCAGAATCAGGAATTATTATAATTGTCTAGGCAAAATACAGACTTAACAGTTTTCAAACAGTCTGCTGATACGAAATACACTATTTATATGCACCAAAGATGTTTTCAAGCTGCTATTTTAATTTTTTTCAATATATTATTTTGAAGTATGTTGTTACATTGATTTGGTCATTAATATACAGTTAGTTCTCCATATCTGTTGATTCTATATCTGGATTTAGCCAATCTTAGATGCAAAATGGAATTTGGACTACTATAGTAGTTTTACGTGTACTGAACAGACTTTATCCTTGCCATTTCCAAAGCTGTGCAGTATAGCAAGTTGCATTTCTATCGTATTGGGTATTCTGAGTGATCTAGAGGGGATTTACAGAGTAAGTGTTGGGGGAGGCCACTTGTTGGTTTCCTGGCCGCCTGGCAGCTCAGACCCGAAATAACCACACAGAAACTGTATTAATTAAACCACTGCTTGTCCTATTAGCTCTGACTTCTTATCAGCTAGCTCTTACGTTTTAATTTAACCCATTTCTAGTAATCTGTGTATAGCCATGTGGCTGTGACTTACTGGGTAAAGTTCCATCTGGCTCCGGCGGGGCTTCATGGCTTCTCTCTGCCTCTGCCTCCTTTCTTCCATCATTCAGTTTAGTTTTCCCTGCCTATCTAATTTCTGCCCTATCAACAGGCCAAGGCAGTTTCTTTATTCACCAGTGGTATTCACAGCATACTCAGGGAAATCCCACATCAATACTGGAGATTATTAGAGTTATTGCAGATGTCTACTGGTTTGAATGAATTTTTGGAATCTAATATGGAGAGGGAGGTGTCCTACAACTTGTCTAAGATATTGAGTGGGAGTATAAAAGGCTGGCGATCAGTAATGTTACTTAATGGTTGAGCAAACAAACACTGTGTTTATATGGTTTGAAAACAAATGCTGTGGTTGTGCCTAGCAGGCTCCTCTCAAAAAAGAAAGTTAGCTACTGATACCTTGTTTGAGCAATATTAAAGTTATTCATGTCATAAATATAATTTAAAATTGCTTATTAAATCTGGATTTGACTTATTTTTTGTTTTATACTTATATAAGAGGTGTAAGTATGAGGAATTTATATTTGTGTATATTTAAATGACATTTTAAAAACATGATTCAGTGTCAATAGAAGGTCTTTAAGTTTCTTTAAAAAGTTAACATTCGTACATAGAAGGACTGGAACATGAGACCAATTTGAGTTACATAGTGAAAAATAGGATCCTCCCTTATAAAAACCAAAAGTGTACATTCAATTATGACAGATACTGTTTTAGACATCCATGGATTTAGCTGTGTATAAATTTAATTTCAAAGTTATAGATTCTCTTTTAATTTTAAAATTTAGTCTCAGTCATGATGTGAATTCTATTTCTTCATATCATAAATATTTTCGGTGGAGAATCTAAACTTATATGGACTAGTTTTATTAAAAAGTATGTTATTTCTGACTATAGAGTAATTATTAAAGACTTATTAGATGAGGTAAAACTGAAATGGTCATGAGTGCCCGAAGGAAGTGCAAAGGATGACTTCAAGAGAATTCCTTCCCCTGATAATGGAGTGAAGTACAGCATGAACGTGCTTGGTGAGTGAGTGTTGAAGGTTTTGCACGTGTGATTGAGGCAGTGAGGGGGGGAAACTTGAAGGTCAGAGAGACATGGAAGAGTCCCCAAGATCAGTGGGCAGGGTGATGTTGACACGTGAGAACAGCTGGCTGGGTTCAAGGTATGTAGTCAGTACCTTTCTCAGTTTTAGTTTGAGGTTTAAGGTTGTCCATGTAACAAATGTGCAGAGACTACAGAAAACATAAAGGTTTTAAAGGGAAAGTAAAACCTGCAGTCAGTGCTCTGAGGAAGCCACAAAATTTGGGAAGGGGTGCTTCCTGATGCTCTTCTCCACTCTGCCCCAGCAGTGTTCTCCCCATCACTAGTTCCTTCCGCCAGACTCTTGCCTAGTGTGTCTACTGAACTGCTTTCTGGATGCCAGTCACCTCTGTTCATGTGGCACATCACCCTATAGCAACACTAGTGTCCTGTCCAGTGTTATTCCTAATGAATGTGACCCTGGGACTAATACAGTCTGTAGTGTTTACTTCTTGTTATTTGAATTATTTGATAAAGAACTTTAGACTTATTTAAGGTCTCAAGATATCACTAGCGTTTTTTAGGAATGTTTTCATTTTTCAGTGTATGCATGCTATTGTAGACTTTATAAAAATCCCCAGAGGAGTCATCACTCCCCAGCGGAGTCATCCAGGGTCCACTATGGAATGTACTTCTGTCTAGTCTATTTTTGTGGCCCCATTAGGGTGTATCACCATCTTGCAGTTCTGTGATTTGTTTGGCATTCTTCATCAAAACATATGGGTAGATTCTCCCTTCTTCCCTCTCTTTTCCCTCTATCTGTTTTCCTTTCATTGTCTTTTGCTGTCTGTCCTTCTGTCCTTCCCTTCAAGGGTTAAAATATTGAACTTCAGTTTTTAGTACCAGTACTTATAAAGTATTTGTAAAGTACAAGTAGATGACTTATGGATTATGTGGGCACCACACTTGGCTTCCGTGGTGCCGGTGTGACTGCTGTCATGAGATTTTCCTAACTGTCAGCTCTCTGTCTCCAGGTACACTGAAGAGATGGTGCCCTGGCACCCTTGCCTGAAACTGATTAGCAATTGTGAGCAGAAGCTTTCCAGTCACACAGCAAGGCGCTTGATCACAATGGAAAAGGTGAAGGAATTTGAGGTATGTTGCCGACATTTATTTTTTTCAAACTTGATCTTTCCAGATAGTTTTCCTGGAGTAGGATTTGGAAATGTTACTCTTGATTTTGATAGTATAGGTGAGTTTATGAAAAAGCAAGTTGAAGAAATTTGTGGCATTTGATTGTGGTCGGAGTGGGATAGAAGGGTTTTCTAGAAGAGCAGAAGACACTCACTGATGCCAAGGGCTTTTTTAGGTGTTTTGTTGCAAAAGCAGAACTCCATGAGTGCAGACTTGTTTGTGTTTATCTAGTAAGAATGTGTGTACATGCACACACATGCCATGGCTCACATGTGGAAGTCAGAACAGCTGAGGGAGTTGCTGCTCTCCTACCATGTTGTTTCCAGGGATTGAACTCAGGTCATCAGGCCCGGTGGCAGTTGCCTTTACCTGATGAGCCATCTCACCAGCTCAAGTGTAAATTTTAATTGAGACAATGATCCTTTATTTAAGGAAGCAAGGAAAATATCCTCATTTGTTATTGTACAGTGTCAGCAATCATTCATTCTCATAGTCTCTCTTTCATTCTCTCACTGTCTCTCTCTATCTGTCTCTCTTCCTCTCTCTCTCTCTCTCTCTCTCTCTCTCTCTCTTTCTCTCTCTCTCACACACACACACACACAAACACACACTATATTTAAGTTTTAATAACATTTATTACTTTCTATCTAGAGATCTAGATTAGAAGTGATGTAACTAGTACCTCATTTAATGCCACTTTAGTACCAGGACAAAATGTCCTTTGTGTTGTTCTTCTCTGAACTGACTGGCTCTTCCAAATGTATTGGCTGTTTGGACAAGCCTTGTCTTTATAGGGCAAACAGAACAGGGTAGTTGTGGCTGAATATTTTCTAATGCCCATCTCCAGTCTGCATTTGATTGATTATCATCTAATTTATACCTTATGGGTCTTTCACAATAGTAACTGATACACTGCCTTTTGTGTCTGTCACTTTGCGTCTTTCATCCCTTTCCCATTTGTTGTCTGTCTTTAATTTAGATTCTTATTAGCTCATAATTGGTTTATGCTGACAGATCCCAATCTTCCTCCTTATCTTGTTCATATCTTTTAAGTAGATTCTCCTAAAATATGGCATTTATGTTACTTTATGTAAATGTTTTAGTTAATCATTTTTACTACTAGATAATGTTTATAAAGTTTTAAATTATCCTCAATAATTATCTTCCAACATCAAGACTTTTCAGGAAACTAAGCTATTCATCTAGATAAGTAGTTGATGGTTATCTACTAGATGTGTGTGTATTTTTATGCTTGGGTGTATAGATATATGTGGTATGATAAGAATGCGTGGTAGTAGTTAAAAAAACGTAGCAGCCACCTGTTTAAGTTCCAGCCTCATCTCCGCAATTACTATTTACACAATAGATACTTATGAGATGGACACGATTTTCCAGTGTGCTCCTAAAGTTTATCTGTGTACTTACATTTAAGAAGGGGATTAGTACTAAATCATTGATATTACACATTTTGTACTGGATAATTTTCCTAATTAGAGTTCCTTGTGGAAATCAAGTCCTGTCCCAAGTATGACAATGTACCATTAGTTGTTTAGAACATTGCAGTTCAGAAGCTCCCAAGAGTGGTTTCCTTATTTATTGGCACAGTGACAACCCTCAGAAATGTCCATTTTGAATCCAGTAGAAGTCCTGTATTTTACCGTCCATTGCAGTTGTCTGATCAGTACTGGCCGCTCTGACTCAAAGCCACCTGTCCAATGGCGGTAATGTGTTAAATACTTCCAGTTGTAGACTTACTTCCATGTCCCAACTAAACTTTCTATTTCCCCAGAGTTACTTGTGCTGTTGTCAGGGCTGTCCATTCCAGGTAGAAGTGTCACAGTCCGATGATCTGAGTTTGACTCCTAGAAACCCAATGGAAGGCAAGAGCCAACTTTCACAAGATGTTCTCTGATTTGTGACACCTGCAGCCACTCCCAAATGAAATAAGTAAATAAATGTAGCTTTTAATATGTGTATAAAGACTTATACACATAAGAGAATAATACACATGAGAATAGAAAGAGGATCACAGTTCAAGTTTCTGGACTCGGTTTGCTTTGTAAGACACATAAGTCCTTGGTTTACTTGATGCAAGACAGAACTGGGGCTCTATAGGTTTAATTCCATAAAGACTGATATTTATAAGTGAATGGGTATTTTAAATTACAAAAATATCTCACGTTTGTGGAAGTGGAAAGTGCTAAGGTTGGTTTGGAGGTGAAACTGCTCTCCTGGCATCTTGGTATCTCCCTTGTTGCAGTGTCTCACACGGCCTTTGTTGCTCAGCCTGCCCATGTTGACTCTTCCTCTTCACAAAGATACTGGTTACAATGGATTAAGGCATACGACATCTTTTACCCTTAATTACTGCCTCAAAGGGTTCGCCTTGAAAAATAGTTAGATTTTGAAGTAGGGCTTATTTAAGCGTTGGAGGGATATGTTAGTCCCTAATGCTAACCGTAATCAGCTCAAGAGGCTGGTTGATGTTAGAGTCGCTCTCCATTTCCTGTCACTGCCATCTCATGGATTTGTATGTTTTTCTCTTGATATGCTAAGGGAAGTGGGGTGTTGGAGCACTTAGTAGTAGTTTTACAGCTTCTGTAGATTATAGCATTAAAGTAATCATTTGAGTTCGTAACAAATGATGCTAATAGCTGCTGTGTTATGTGCCAGGACCAAAGAAATAGTTATACAAAACAGAAATATTACATGCAGATGTTAGAGCTTTAATTCTTGTTAGCAAAAAGCAAAATATATGACATGAGCTTCCTTCGTGACTTGCCTACATAAATAGCAGTTCTCCATAAATTGTGTCCCGTGGAATTGCCCAGCTATGGAGAAGTCTCTTGGCCATTTCTACTTTTACAGAAACAGGAACAAACAGTAAACTAGGATCTTCTGTGAACTAATTTCATATATGCTTTCTCCCGAGTTTAGTGTAAGAAAGTCAGTTTTTCTTCCAAATTTATACTTCTGTAAGCAAATTTATTTTAAAGTCAAAGAAAAATAGGCTTCTGAGAATTCTTACTGTATATTAAAATGATAAATAAGCTCAACTCCCTTGGTGTTTTCAACCTGTAAAAGCAGGACTGCTCCTGACTTGGCTTCCTGTTTTCCTTTTGTTCTTGTTTGAAGCAGGTGTGTGCCTGTGTGCATTGAGACAGTGTCTCACTGTGTAGCACTGACTGTCCCGGAATTCATATGTAGATGAGACAGGCCTCCAATTCAGAGGTGTGCCTGCCTCTGTCCCAGTGCTGCCCCACCACACATGCTGAAATTGATTTTTTTTTTTTTTAAATAAGGAAGGCTTCCTCCTAATGGTCACATTAGTACAGGCTCCATTAGCAAGTCTTAAGTAGTGTGGGATTAACTGTTAATGTCTTGTTAATGTGACACTCTGCCATGTTTGTTTTTAATTCATTGCTTCACTTCTGCCTTCTCTTTCCTGCCAAGGAATGTCTGCAGTAACATCTACGCCGCAGCCCTTCATAGCACAGGCGAACAGAGAATTGTCAAACAGTTCTCACATGTCTGACAAATTGTTCTCAGGCTTGTTCAGTGCTGTTGATTTTGGCAGTGAACGAATATTAATTTTAGATTTTTGCACTTCATGTACTTTTACTTTTGACTTGACAGTTATTTGGTCTAACCAGTTTAAAGTTAGGCTTACTTGATATGTTGTTGAAGTGTTCTCCCACCATTTAAAATGTAGAAATAAGTCATAAAAATTGGTCTAATGAATATGAATATTTATATCTTTACATCATTGGCTATAGTTTTGGACTTGTTTATTTTGTGTGAATTGTGAAGAAGCTCTTGATAACCATGTCAGTATTATGAAGATACCTGATAAGAACCTCATTTTTGTTGTCATTATCCTTCATTGATATATTCTAGAAACTAAATGAATTGTTATTATCCTTCATTGATATATTCTGCAGACTAAATGAATTAAGTGCCCTGTTTTCTTGGTCCTTGTCTGTAAACACTTTGGAGTTTATGTTACCATTTCAGAGATAAAGAGCCTTCCTATAGCACACTGATAACTAAGTAAACAGCACACTTGAAAACAAAACTTGTCTTTATCCTTGAAATTTGACCCTTTTCCTGCATCACATAATCTTCTACCTGGACATATTTCTACCTTTGTAGTGTGTTGATATTAAAGGTCTGTGCATGCTGTTTAGGGACAAGATGCTTACCTATCATGCACAAGACCTGAGGGTTAATTACAACTACCACAAAAATAGATAAGCAGCAAATATTCTTTAGCATTGAATTCTTAGCCTCTTTTAAACATACTCTTAATTTCCCTGTTGTTTTTAGCCAGTGTACTCAGGATGCCATGACATGATGTAATAAGTTTTGCTAAGGTCCATTTTCCTCTTCTCATTGACACACAGTTAATGGTACTGTGTATAGTTGTGATAACTCTAAGAAACATTTTTTTGTGTATAAAATTCACTGAATAAAAATACTGATCTCCAAAAATTAAAAGAATTCTAATCTCCAGAAATTTCTAGATTAGAACAGAGTGTATACAAGTGACTATACATTCAGTGCAAGCCACCTAAAATCAGTATGCTTTCAATGGCTTCTGCCAGAACCTACTAGAACCAGATGAAATACTACCTAGAGTAGCTACTTCACAGGTTTTTCTTGACCTTTTTTCTTTAAGAGATTTATTTTTATTCATGTATATGTAAGTGTGTGAGAATGCATGCGTGCATGGATGCATGCATCTTTTTGTGAGTATATGTGTGTCTGTGTTTGTATGCCATATATGTGCAAGTATTCATGGGTACCAGAAGAGGGCATCAGATACCTTAGAACTGGGGTTACAGGCAATTGTGAGCCACCCAATGTGGGTGCTGGAAACCGAGCTCTAGTCCTCAGCAAGAATAATATGCTCTTTTAACCATGGAGCCTTGTCCCTCCAGAGCCTTGGGATTAAGAATAAA